GATAGGTGGGAGCGTGCCTCTTCCGAGGTTGTTGCTTACTGTGTTTGTCTGTGATGTGTTCCTGTCAAGGAGGAAAATGCCAGGGATATAGTATGTTGCTACAAAACAAGAATTTGGTGTGGGGTATTTAAGAAATTTGGGAGACAGACTGTCCCTGGCTCTTGAAGCCCTCAACTCTCAAAAGGAATGGCATTTAAGAATGTAAAATGAGCATTTATTACACATTGACAATGCGGCTCTAACTGACCTTGCTGACCCAAAGAAAAGTAAAGTTGTTAGCAAACTTTAATGTATAGCCTTAGGTTATCCATCCTGCAGTTGGCACCTCTGTCATTTCATTTACCTGTGAGCTGACCAGGGTTGCATATGTCTTCAGAACTGGCTTCCGCCTTTCTTAGCTGTGCTTTGTGGTGTGAATGGACGAAAAATACCCGCTGACACATCATGGGCTGTACAAGAGATAAATGCCATTTTGATCTGCATGTTGCTTACTGCTGCTGTCATTGATTTCTTTCAAATCTGTATGTTTCTTCTGGGGAACACTGAGGAAACAAAATCCTATTACAAATTCTTATCTGCCTCACCGCTAGGAAATATTCCGTTGGCTCCTGTGTGCAGGTGATCCTGGAAAACCAAACAAAGCAAAGTTTTAGATAAAAGTAGTCAGTCCAAGTTTGGTGGCATTCAGAAAGACACCCCATGGTGATGTTGATAGGCAATGCATGAAATATGCAAGCAAAAAGAAGATGGAGAAGAGAGAGACTGTAGTGGCCACTGTTTAATGCAACTTGGTACTTCTGTAGTGTTGCTTTTAAGCTAACCGGAGGGGAAGGGGAGTGATTCTGTGCTGAATGCTGCTTGGTTCTCCTGCTCTGGATACGTTTTTAAACAGAAAAGGTTTTCTTCCTGCCATCTGCTGAAAAGTACCACGGTAAGGAATCACAAGGGTGTTTATGAGGATTTATGAGGCTTTTCCCTGTCTTTTGTTGGGGTGGTTCTTTAGCAGCTCATGTCCCTTGAGCAATCTCAGGCTTCCTGGTGATGCGGTCTGTCTCAGCAAAATTGTTGCACGTGGGTGAGCATGGAAGGGAGCAGTGGATGCTGAGAAATGTTAAAGATGGAATCATGTGAGCTTGTTATTCTAGAGAAAGTAATGCCCTGCACTATCGGGGTTTGTCACGCTCTCCTTCCTCTATCTCTCCTCTTATGGAGTGTAATTAATATGCACAAATTGCAATCTCTTTATGGTTAGTTATAGATTAGCTGCAAGCTAGGAGGAAAGAGAAAAAAATACTGTTAATTTTCAGTTATTTTTCCTAGATACAGATAGCTCGCTATCTAAATTACATGTAATTGCAGTATGTTTTTCCTACATGTTAGTTTTCCTGCTGCAGTGTGAAACTGAGAGTGACTGTGAAAGCGGTTTGGAGAAAGAGAATTGTAAAAGAAACTCCAGAGGGGTAATTCTCCCTCTATTTTTCTCTTAGTGTATTATCATCTGGAGGTCAATCTTCTTCTTTCACTGGGAAGACAGTAAGGAGGATTCCCTGGCCTGGGGAAACTGGAGGCAGAATAAAAGCTTTTCAGAAGGCAACGGGCTTAGAGCTCTGTCCTGGGTTCTTGCTGGGAGCTGTGTGTAATTAGAGGAGGCAGCAGTGGGCTCTGCCTGCAGGGGCACAACAGATTCCCCTTCTTACGTGAACAATTTGCGTTTCTGACCTGATGCTCTGCTTAATAACTGTAGTGAAAAAACAGGGGGCTGAGAGCAGAGTGACACAAGGAGGACCTGAAAACCTAAGGATGGAATGAGAAGTGCCTTGGTCCCTTGAGCTCTTGAATACCCCGTCCTCGCGTGGCAGAGTAGCAGCTGGGCCTTGTATTTCGCACCCTGCCTGAGGCAGGGGCAGTTGCGCAGAACACGATTCTCAGTGTGCCCATCCTTTTCACAACTGCCAAATGCATGCACGCTTGTCAAGTACTGTAGCTGCCAAGGAGACTGGAAGTGCATGTAGGCGTTGCTACTGGGACCCTTGGAAGCTTTGCTTCCCTTCAGTATGTTAGCTTTTAGAAGGAGCCTGTATTTTTGTATCAAATGTTCTAACAGCAATTGAAGACTATTACTGCGGATAAATTCCCACTTGATCTCGGGTCGGAGAGGATTAGTAGCTTGATTGTAGGCTGAATGTGTTTCTCTACTGTCAGTAGCTGTTTCATCCTAAGTATCCACTGCTTCAGTAAGGTGGACTTGGAAGGGACGTTCTTACGGGTTGTGGTGAAGATAACCTTGCAAATTGTTTGGAGTCTGATTTTTTTTTTCTTTAGGTGTGATGTAAATAGCAAAAGTATGCAACAGCCCAAACTATTTCTTCACAATTGCAAACAGCTTGCTAATGGAGCACCTCCCAGCACTCTACAGTGAGTTTTATTTCCTGTCTGGCTGAAAGGTTTGCATCAGCAGAGACTGTTGTAACATGTGATGGGGCCTTCACCCTGCCATGTTCTTGTTGCGACTGTGAGCCTGGGATGGAGCTGACTGTTGCAAACAGATCTGTGTTTTCCACAGGAAACCGCCCATTTTGTAGGATGTAAGAGAAGTTGTAACGATACAGGCTGGCCAGGAAAATAGTAAGTGACCTAATTTCCTTTTTAAAGTAGGTTAATCCTACTAATTTGACAATACTATCAGCTATTCTTAATAAGTAATGAAAATACAACAGGACCTGAGCCTGGAGACAAAGTAAGGCTTGCAAAATGGATTAATAGCTTCCAGCATTAAGGGTACTGTTGAGACTGTTGCATTATATTTTATAACATTGTGAGCCTGAAATTAAGCTGTTGTACAAAGGAGTAAATCAAGACTTATCAAGACAAGTACGTGCATAACGTAGAGAAGTACAGGCACTAGCTGTACTGTGGAAGTCCAGCTTTTCTTCATCAAAACACGTGTGTTGCTATTGTTATGGACAAACAGACCAAGAGCACTTGGGCCAGATTAAAATCTGCCCTGTAGATCTGAAAGTGGAATTTATCTGCTTAACTAGACTCTAGTAGCTATTTGTGTACCAGCGTATTACAATCCAACGTTTTGGTGTTTCATTAGTAAATTCTCTCTGCACTAGCAAAAAGATGCAATCCCTTCTTCCTTTAAAATGCAAAGAGAAGCTGAATGTCTTTTTTTGTTTGTCAAGTGGGTTTGTACTCGTTAATAGGCGGCTTGGGTGGTGCTAACTGTAAATAAACAGCAAGGCCTGATGCTGCAGCAAATATTCGTTGGGGTGCAAACTACAGCTTTATCAGGACATGGAAGTTATATTTCTCTTTCATGAATACCGTCTGGCTTCTGTAATTTACCTGTTATCTGGAGCAGCTTTTGAAATGATATTTTACAAAATATTGTTTCTCTAAAATACACTACTGTGGTTATTGTTTTGGGGGAATTAGGAATGTGTTTACTTAGGAATTTAAAACAGAAGAACTTGTATTTACATGAGGTTGAACATTGTAAAGAAAGGGGTCACTCTTAAAGTACATCTACAACATGAAACTACAGTAATACCTGGAGTGTGTATATGCTTGCATTCTAAAGAATAAATCCTTGCAAGCTGGAAAAAAGAAAACACAGCTTCACGCAAGCTACTTTTAATAAAAAAATCTCCATTGGGGATTGCTACCTTGTATAGTATAAACTGCTAACTCTCTTGTTCTCAAGTAAAATGTTAAATATATGCTTTAAAAAGGCAGGAAGAGTCTCTAAAATGCGGTGTTTACTCTCAAGAGTTTTTACTGTATCTCTTAAAACAGACAAGTGTAAAGTGCAGGGATTTGTAGTTAATTCATCTCACAGGGATTTTTTTTCAAGTATTTATCTTGAAATCATATGTGAAGCAAGGGGCTACTTTCAGACTTTTGGTTGAGCATCTGTTGAGGTTAACGTAACCAAAGCCCTAAGTGAACAGCACCATATAAGGAAATAGCAGCAAATGAGAACCCGCGTTCCCAAACTGGGGGAGATATCAGTGGCGGTATTCAGGTCGCTGCAAAGTGGTGCATAATGGGGCACAGAGCCAGAAGCTGCTGATGGTATTTTCTTGCAAAAATATCTAATCTCCCATAATATTTTATGGTAGGTTGAAAACTATTGTAACCACCGTTTAGAGAGTTAACCAAGTTGAAAGGTTTCTATGTAGAACAGTATAAAGCTTTACTTAAATGTGAAGAGAGGATTTTAATAACAAATTTGAGAAAATTTAATGCATCTTCCTTTAAAGCCGGGTAAAAGTCTGATAAAAGTTTGATTCCTTTCTTTGCTAGATAAAGAGCTTCTCCCAAGTGCTGTGAGTGATCTTGAAGTGAATACGTCCTGTTTTCTGATGATTTGGAGTGGGAGTGAAGCACAGATTCCTCCTCTTGTAGGTCACCATATGTTTCTAGATTGCCTATAAGCATTTGCTATTCAGACTTGCAAGAATTCCTTAAAATTGATTATGGGGGGGGAAAAATACAGTACTAAAACAGATAGGAAAAAAACCCCAGCTTGGAATTTAAGCTAGAGGTTGGTATAACTTAACTTTTCAGTAAGGGAGGGGGGAGTAAGGAGACCATAGGGTTCCAGTAGCTGCTTGGAGAGCACCTTTGAATCTGCAATTTCCAGAGTATGCTGGGAGTGACAACAGAGCAAAGGTATGCATATTCAGCAGCCAGAAATTAAGGTTAAAAACTGAGACCGCAGTGCTAGAATAATAAAGGTAGTCCTTAAAGGATATTTAGAGGAAGAGTACGAGGTTACTGTGACCATCGCTTTGTAGCCAAGAAGAGAATGCACTCAGAAAAGTTGACCACA